ATAGGTGCACGTGGGCCTAATTTCTTAGGAGGTTCTGCCATAGTAAGTATAGTGTTCAGGCGGTAACACCAACTCCTGAAAACTCCTCCAAAATCAGTTTTTGGTATGACTCAAAAAAACTAGCTCTACATCGGTTTTCATTCATGGTTTCCAAATTTTGCGTGCTTCCAAAACCCACATATCAGCTTGTCATATACCTACGGTCTCCTTGTGCTCCCAATCGCTAAAAATCGCTCCCTCGCGTGCGAGAAACCTATATCCACGCCTACCACCAACATGACTTCACCTAAAGGTAAAACCTTTGCTTCTATGTTAGCCGGCGCTTGATCACAGCATGGCCAGCCTTAGCTGTTGATGGTTGCCTCTCTCTCCTTTGGTTGGCCAATCGTGGCTAGCTATAGCCTACTTGCAACCCCTCCTGCACTAGTAGGGGCAGCTCTAGTTAGCTAGGGTGTTCCTGCAAGTGGCGTAGTGGTTCTCGGTGAAGGCAGCACAATGGATCTTAATATATTCCCAATTGGCATTAAGTTAGCAATAACCGAGGAGGTCATTCTTTGGCTATGAATGGTTGACGTTCATAGGTCACTATTCGGTGATGATCTTGAGCTCATCAAGTTCTTACAGGACCAGATCCGCTACTTACAACCTTTTGTTGATGGTCATCTTCTCATAGAGGCGGTTGAGGTGGTTCTTCTAATGGCGCCAGCTACTCCACCCTTGTTATGTTATTCAAGATGGTTTGGGTTGTCCAATCACTAACACCAACATGATGGGTCGGTGGTTGTTGTCGTCACTACTTCGAGTAATTCCTCTTCCGCCCTCTTATCCTCAAAGCTCGAGGACCCCCTGTTGCCTGCAGTTCAGCTAGCAAACGCAAAGGATGTGATGTTTCATCTCGAGCTGGCGCGAGACAGGAGAAATCTCTTTGACGATGAGCTTTGCTTTTTAATGATCCAATGTCGCCATTGCCCGGCCTTGAGAGGCGACCAAGGCTCCTTTGGTTGTTGTTCCATGCCTTGCCACTAAAGGCCATTTCCGATACCCTGCTTCATTGCCATACCTCATTCGTGGAACATGTTGGTGCTCCGTCACCTTTATTCGTCAATGAGATGCCCTCATTAATGTTTTCCATATTTACATCATTGAAGACAGTCATGGTCGGCTTTTGTAGCGGATGGACTCACCAGTGTGGGCGACAGAGGCCCAACAGAAGTTTAGTTGTTGAAGGTGAAGCTACTGCAGTTCCCCCTTGCTCTAGCATCATCACTTCCTAGTCTTGGACCTCTTATGGAAAAGAGGAATTGCATAGAGCTGTACTCAAAGACAAGGATGTGTCTTCTTCCTCATATGGTTGCAAAGTTCATGGCTCAAGGTGATGACTAATGTGACTCTTATGCTCGCTTCAACGGGGGAACTGTATGGAGGTCTTAGTTGTCTAGAGGTGTTGCCTTTAGATGTTAGTTGTATCACTATATTCACTACTTATCTTAGATTTGATAGTCGTCCAGTCACGAATTGTTTATATGTAATTACTTAATTCTGAACTTTATTTGATCCCTGTGAAACTAGTCTTGTAGGGATTTGTTGGTCTTGATGAACCTAGACTTACACTGTGAACGTTGACACGTTGTAATTCTCTTTTCCTCTCAATAAATAATGTGCTTATGCACGGCCACTAGAAACAAGGTGAAAGAAAATGCTAAAGTAGCGGTTCATTTGTAGCATGCGCTCTACTACATCCTCAATTAGGATAAAGCAATGTTGTAAACGTGCAACAACAACAACATATACAGTTACTAAGTCCGGACCGAAAGCGCCGACAAGATCGACGGAGCAAGTTAAGAAATGGATTAGAAACTGATTAGTACTCCATGTAGGAGTGTATTATAAGTTATTTTATAGGTCGTGTCCCAGCATGGCTTGTCGGCATAAACGCAAAGCAAGCGGCTCGTCCTGTCGTCCATGCAGGCCGACCACACAGGAATGCGACCGGACGAGAGCCGTTTTTCGTGTAAAAATCTATGGAAGGATGGATGGATCGTCCTCTCCGATCCCTCCGTGATTGGCGTCTCCACGGTGGCCCATTTTGTTGGCCACGTAGCCCCTGTGGACAATCAGCCTCGTTTGTAAATGATCGTAAATTTTTAGTTAAAAATAGTGTTTTTCTCTCACACCAATCCAGCCAGCAGTAAATAATCCACGATACGATATGGCGTCCGAACAGGCTGAATAATTATCGTCTGCATTATTATCACGCCCTAACTATGATTGACGTGACGGGCTGGCGGGCCCCATCAGCTTGCTTTATCAGTGTGATCCAGTATCGCCTGCGAGCGATCATGAATCAGGCAGGAAAACAACCCATCAATTGAGTGAGATGGGTGTCACACAACTTGTGCATCTTTAGTATTATTATCATCATTGTGTTTCAAACGGAAAAATGCAATGGGTTCCACTTTTGCTGTTTTGCATGATTATTATTGCATCAATCTTCTCTCTTGCTCATATGGCCTTTGTCATCGTCGGTCTTTGCACTAGCTAAACAAGGGCCCACGAGACCTTGAATCAATAAGTTGTACTTCATTCAGCCTAAAATTAGTCACACCTCTGAGGAGTAAAACCTTCTTAAAAAAATAATTATCTAATAAAAATATTAAAAATATTTATATCTTCTAAAATGATTACTACTAGCATGAAAGTATATTTCATTGTTAACCTAATAATACTCATTATGCACTATAAATATTAGTGCATTTTTGTATATGTTTGGTGAAATTTAATGTTTTAAATAGTGGGATAAAACAGTTACCTGTGTCCTTCTCCAAAAAACATAAAAAATACTACAGTATGCTATAACAGAAGCTATTTCATTTAGCATTTTTATATAAAACATAAAAAAATTAATTAATTATGCACAATAATATTTAACTAGGCAAAATTTTAGAACACAAATACACAAAACACATGTAGAAGATCTAGAAGAATATGTTTCCAAATTCACTACCTAACATTCATCATATCAATAAATATATACTCACCGTTGTGATCAACACTCAATATTGAATATTACAATAATTATCCAATAATTTATTACATAAGTAAAGAATATAAAATTGAGACATAGATTAGAGTACTCTAGACTAAAGATATATCTCAGTTATATCTATAACTCTTATAAAGCAAAAACCCACTACAGTATTTTTCTACAATTCTGTGAAGCCACATCATATAAGGCCCCACCAAGTTACTAAGCTCAGTTACAAATTACACTTCCACCAAATATTATCAAGAAATGAAGAGACCTCGAAATAATTGATGCAAAACCATCGAGGAGCCAAGGGGTCATGTAATAGTAATGGTATTTATTCATCATGTACAACATGTGACTCCACACAATAGATTGAAATTCCACCACACCGCTTCCTCTCCCCAATGCCATGTATATTTTGCCTCGGGCGAAGCCACTGCTGCTTGACGCGTAGTCTCACTGCATCATATGTTCTATATCTCCTCGCCTCTAGCTCCCGTGCCTGGTTGTCTACTATCGTGTAGAGGTGAATGCAAACTAACTGGCATCATGCTTGCAACAGATGCCATCAACAAATTCAGGAGTAGGGCTGCACATTCTTCCTCTTCCTCCGTTACTAGAGAATCAATCCCCTCTACAAATTATATTCTCAAAATTGTAGTCAGGAATTTTTCCCTTTTTCCAGGATACTGCTAAGCTTTTACTTCATAGTTACATAATCATCCATTTTCTTCAATTTAATTCTATATTGAGTTTCTCCTTACTGTTTTAACGTGATTACTCACTCATTTCTTTGCTTCTTTCCAATTATCCAGCCTTTTTAGTTTGCACAAAAAAGTACTAGAGGTTAAACCACTACTATTTGAATTTTGGGCATGTGCTTATGTTTTCAAATAGAAAAGGGGTTTGCTGTGGTACATTCAAATGACTATGAACCGTTCAAATAAAAAAGGGTTTTGCTTTGATCCACTTATTAAATAGTTTTTTACCTATATAGTTTCTTATTACATAGCTTGCTACTTTTGAGAAAGTTCCGCAGCAACGCACGAAGTATCCTTCTAGTTGCTATTAAACCAAATAGCGATGTTAGCGAAGCTAAAATATTATTAACGATAACCGTAAAACAAGGAGAGACATAGATTAGAGTATGCTAGACTAAAGATATATCTCAGTTATATCGCTGTTAAACCAAATAGCGATGTTAGCGAAGCTAAAATATTATTAACAATAGCAACAAAACAATTAATAATCGCGTGACGATAGGTGCTATGAAGAACCATAGCGAAACCATAATAATAAAATCATTATAATAGACTATTTAAAACCATGCTATCGAGTGACCCACCTCGGACTTGGAAGTGACAAGAGAGTGCTGTCCGCCTGTGCCTGTGATTCTTTTTTTTTTTCATTTGAGGAATTTTGTGTTGGGCACCGACGCGCACGGACGGGCGGACGGCCCAGACCGGATGCTGCCTTACGGCGACACGTTTTCCGGTCCGGCCCAGCAGCAGCAGGGAGGAAGGTTCGCTCGGTCGCTGGCTCCGCGTGCCGTCCCTCCTATAAATCCGAGTCCTCGCGGAGTTCACTGGGCATCAGAAGCTCACTCGCTGGTCGCTGGCCCACTCACACCTCCGCTGATATTTCGTTTTCGTTCCCCTTCCCGTCCCTCGTCGCCGAGGCCCCCCGCGGCTCCGCCAGGCAGATCAGATCTATCCATCCAGGAACCGGAAGGTGAGCGCCGTGAACGAACCATCCGCCCTCCTAGCGCAGATCTGTAGCCTGGCGTCGCGTTCGCGTCTAGATCGTCGCCTGTCACGATCCGTGCGGTTCTAGATCTGCTGTTTTTCGTTTCCCTGGTGGTCGAATCCTTCCATCCACCAGGAGAGCTCGTGGGTTCCTTTTAGTTTCCCGCTGTCTGTGATCTGATATATGCGTCCGGATCTGATCTGCTGTAATAATCATCAGGTGAACCATGAGCGCCGTGGCGGTTTCGTCGTCGCTGAACCCGGACGCGCCGCTCTTCATCCCGGCGGCGCTGCTGCAGGTGGAGGACTTCTCGCCGCAGTGGTGGGACCTCATAACCACCACCGCCTGGTTCCGCGACCACTGGTCCCGCGAGCACGCCCACCTGGACGAGATGGCCGAGCAGCTCGACGCGGCCAGCCTCCTGCCAGACGACGAGGACCTCTTCTACGACGAACAGCCCGAGCAGGCCCCCGCCGTCGTCGACCCAGCGCCTGCCGCCGCCGCCGTCCTTAAGACAGGTACGGATCTACCTCTCTCGCTGACTCGAATCAAGATTTTTCCTTAGAGACGAATCGCAGTGAGCTCATCTGTGAACGTGAACGTTGGTGTGTTTTTCCTCCGTCAGATGAGGTGCTCAAGGCGCTGAACCTGACCTCCGCGAAGGGCGTCGACGCCCCGCGTGGGTTTCGGGAGAAGCCCAGGCATTCCGAGAAGCCGACCAAGTACGCCGGCAGCCCCAAGAGCAGTGCCCCCCGCGTGATCCACCAGCCTCGCTAGGTTCGCATGGGGAACTCGGCAAGGCTGCTGCCCCTCTTGCAGCCTCTGCTCCTGGCTGCTGCTGCCGTTGCGGTCTGCTCTGCTCTTTCAAAGTTTCAAGTGAAATACTGGTGGTTCGAGTAGTGATGAGTAGTAGTACAACAGTAGAAGTTCCTTTTGTATAGCAATCAAAAAATGACCAAAAATATAACAAAACGCAGCGGTTAGCTTACTGCTGCTGCTCTAAGTTGTGTTAAGTCCTCCGGTGTGTCTAGGTCTAGGGAAACCCCGCAAAACTGAAAGAGGGTGAAGGTGGAGTCCCAGTGTTAGAATCAATGATGCACTTTTGTAAGTAAAATGTGTGATGTGCAATGGCAGGCAGTCTAATGTTTCAACTAGGTGTCTGTGTAGTTCCTAATTTTTTTTAAGATTTTTCGTCACATCGAATCTTTAACGCATATATAACGCATATATGAAACATTAAATATAAATAAAAAATAAAACTAATTACACAGTTTAGACGAAATTCACATGATGAATCTTTTAAATCTAATTAGACTATGATTAGATATTAATTGCTAAATAATCACAAAAGTGTTATATTATTATTTCCCAAAACATTTCGTCAACTAAACCAGTCCTAGCTCTTCTGCTGTTACCAGTCCTAGCTCTTCTGCTGTTCTTTCTTCTTGGTGCATGTCGCTTTCCAATGACGAATTCACTGGCCCACTCTGATGCGCTATGCTATCATTCTGCTGCTGCTGCCCCGAGTTTTGACTGATAATCGTTACTCATGAAGCAAGATCGTTTAAACAAAGATTTGACTGAGCGAGTGTTTAGTTCGAACCCCAAATTATCAAAAAGTGTTACATTATCCATCACATCAAATCTTACGATACGTGCATACAGCATTAAATGTAGACGAAAAAAAACTAATTGCACAGTTTGGTTGGAAATTACGAAACGAACGTTTTGAGGCTAATTAGTCCATAATTGAACACTAATTGTCAAATAAAAACGAAAGTGCTACAGTAACCTAAATTCCTAAATTCATCAAACTAAACATGCGGTGATAATCATTACTCATGAAGCAAGATCGTTTAAACAAGGAGCAAAGCTATATATTCAGTCTGTTCGTTTTTTTGTTTCAGTTTGTCAACGACATTTTTCTCTCATGACAAATCAGCACCAGCCAGTCGCTTTTTGGTTTTAGCCCGTCAACAGCATTTTCCTCTCACGACAAACCAGCACTTAAAGGACCAACACTTTCATGGAGACGAAATCCTTGAAAGCTCGGTGGAGGGGCTTGTAGTCAACTCCCTTGCTGTTGAACGCCTTGAAATCTGGGAGGAGAATTGCCATATGGTGGGTGGATTCCTGGAGGACCAAAAGAATTGAAGTTCTGTAGAGAATTGGATGTTCCAAAGGAAAACTGAGATTGGGGGTGTTGGTGGTGAGATTTGGCCACTACCCTCTGAGTATTGGGTTGGAGAGTCTTGATTCAGGAGGCTTGAAAAGCTTGTGGGCAGAGGTTCCATCGTTGTGATCTAGAATTGAGGTCCCGTTCGCTGGTCTGAAATTTGGCTGAAACTGACTGAAAAACACTGCTCTGACTGAATTGTTGTGAGAGAAAAATACTGTTTCGGCTGAAAAAAGAAGCCGAGCAAGCCGAATATGGGGTAAGGCGAACAGAGCCTCAATCTCAGGTGTGAGAATTGAGCACAAAGCCTCAGTTTTGTAGGCACAGATAGAGGGGTTCAGCAAAGAAGGCATGCACAGGAGGAGGCCAACGCCCAACGGCTACCTTTCGAAGCCAATGGCTCTTTCATTATTTACTACGTTGTGTACAGTGTAAATACAGTTTTTTAATTGTCTTATGGGCTGCTCATAGTGTTATAGGTGCCTTTTTCTTATGGACTGCTTATAGACTAGCCCCACAATATTCCAGCTACCTAATAACAAATATTTAATTCCCTATAAACTGGTTTCTGTCAATATTTTGGTTGCTCTTAGCTCACTGACATTAGGCTGTTATTTGGATCCTGTCCATAACTTGCTGCAGGTTTGGCTACCGTGTTTTTTCCTTCCATCAGTCGAGACCACCCGTTTGTTTTGCCAAATCTGGCAGACGAATTGTTCGCCGCGCCGTAAGCCCGTGACTGTGTTCTGAGTTCTGACGTGCAGGGCACATGGCCGTAATGAACTAACGACCCTTTTACCCGTGGCATACTTCACATAATCACATGTTGAGCACATGAGCAGACTCTGAAGCGACAGGGACAAGATAAAAAGGCGATTTTTCATGCTATCGTTTGCTCTGCTATCCCAAAGCGTAGGTTGTTTCAGTTTTTTATGATATTTTTAAAAAAAAACAGTTTATAAAAAAATACATCAAATCTATAAGGCAACGTCCGGTAAGAAATAAAGGAGGACGGGATGCTGTTGTCCTAATGTTGATCACAATTTAAAGATAGTTCCAAACATTAGGAGAGATTCGTACCACACAGAGTGCTAGAAATTAAAAGAGGATCACATATTGATACTCAATTCTTACATCCACGTACCAAAGAATCTAAACCAAATTGTTTAGAACATTTTATATTTGCATCATATTGCCAATAATTATGTCATATAGGCATTTTCTTGTCATATTGATGTCACCAAATTCAAGCCCCATGATTAATATGCCACCCTATCACACGCTTTGTAACATGCTGCTGGCACCACCGCTGAAGAAAACGGAAGAACCAAGCAGCCCAAAAACTCATATTCAGGAGTCAGGACTCCTATACATGAGTCAGGCAGATCTAGAACTAAGGAAAGCACAAGATCTACTAGACTCTGCTTTCATGGACCGGTCGCCGGTGCTGGAGCAAACACCAATGAGTCGAGGAAGAGACCGAAAGAACCTTATTCCACAGAGATGCTGACATCACGCACCCTGGACACTAACCTAGTAACGCTAAGGCTATCTCCAACAGCGGGGAGGCAAATAGAGCACCCATTCCATGTTTGCATCACCTACACTAAAGACCCTGCGTACCCAATTTTGTGGCTTCTTGCCAAACCCAAATCCCACCCCACCTCTCTGTCCTCGTCGAGCTACCCCGCCGCGGTCCAGCAGTGGAGCAGCTCGCGGCCGCCACCATCGTCGTCGTCCGCGGTCGCCGCCGTGGAGCAGCTCGCGGCCGCCATCGCGGTCCAGCAGCAGCCATCGTGGAGCAGCGCGGACAGGCGAGCAAGGCAGTCTCCACCGGCAGTGCGGACGCGACCTCCCTCGCGCGGAGCTTCCAGGTGCGGGCGCACCTCGCCATCGTCGTCCGCGGAAGCAGCTCGCTGTCGCCGTCCGCTCCACCAGACGCCTTCGACGGGCCCACCACTACCGGCGCCAGAGATTTGCGTCTTGCGGGAGAGGCGACGCTTGTTTGCCTTCCGCCTCGTCTCATACGCAAAATGGCTACCTTGTCTGCGTCTTCGGTTGGAGAACGTTTTCAATACGCAAAAATACTGTGGAATACCTATTATGCATTTGGGTCACATGATGGCTGCTCTGTTGGAGACAGTCTAACAAACGTAGACACCATCCCCACCCACCAATAGAGAACCACAATCAACGTCTACCCCACCTCCGAAGGCCATGACAACCCCAAAGGCGAGGATGTCCGGTGGCCCTTCTGATGAGGGTTTATTTAGAACAAAAGAAATATAAAACAGAGGAATGAAAAGATGCACACATGAGATACAATGAATAGTGAAAATATATAGGAATGGATACTTTGAGTTGTTTGGAATGAAGAAAAAAATGTATAGGGACAAAAGCAAACATAGCTGAGACAAGAAGAGCAAATATTCCTTTTCTTATTCTTAAGTTAGAGTGGATGTTTTATTTTCTATGTTTATCACTGTACTATATATTTTTTTCTCTTTGGAAGGAAACTCAACATTCCTTCGTTCTAAACACTGAAGTGATTTTTTTTGAAATTTATTTCCCCAAAATTCGTTTGAAAACCTGTCATCCAAACAGTCCCTGAGAGGGCACACTCCCGAAGTCGCCTCGCATTCGTCAAAGCGGAAAGCCGTTCGAGAAAACTTCCACGTTTCCTCTCGTTCATTTACATTTCATATTTTAACACCGTTCAACATACCAGGTGCCTGTTTAGTTCCCAAAATTTTGCAAAATTTTTCAAGATTCCCCATCACATCGAATCTTTGGACGCATATATGAAGCATTAAATATAAATAAAAAATAAAACTAATTACATAGTTTAGACCAAATTCACGAGACGAATCTTTTAAACTTAATTAGACTATAATTAGATACTAGTTACCAAATAACAACAAAATACTCAAAAATGTTATAGTAAATTTCGCCACTGAAAACAAGGCCCGTATGACCGTCAGGGGATTCGACCTTTGGAAGTCCAGTTTTCTAGGTGGGGTTACGCGCTTCGTGGTTCAAAACCCACCGGCGGGGATGGGGTTGGGCGGGATAGGCTGAAGTAGCACGCGAAATTACCATATTGCCCTTGAAAAAGTAACTCTTGTATACAGCCTGGTGGCCTCTGTTCGTCTCCCCCCAAGATCCATTTGCCTGTTTCCTCGGGACGTCCGGTTCCTCCTCGTCCCCTCTCCCTGCTGCATACCACGGCTCCCTCGCTAAATCTCTCTCCAAAAATCGAACTTGGCTCCGTCACCGCGGCCGCGGACCTGCTTGAGCAGGTGATTTTTCTATTTCTTCCTTCCCGTCTCAGTTCGTGCCCTCCATTTTGATTCTTTCGTGTTGATAGATGGCAGCTTTCTCCCATGCTTGGTGATTGGTTGTGCATCCTGTCCAACGGAGCTTTCTACTATGCTGGTTCTTGCAGGAATCTGAAATTTCATGTGTAGAACAATTAGGTGGAAAAACATCACTGTTGGTTGGTTTGAAGGCTGGCCGCCGGCGCCGCCCACTGTTTTCAGCTTCCAGCAAGGTCGGCGCGAGGAGGGAGACTCTGCATTCATCCGTTCCCTACCAGCGGCGGGCGTTCCTGAGCAGGAACGGCGACCTCGCACGGCAGCACCTCCACCTCCGGCCTCTACTCATCTCGGCTTCCAGCATCCTCGCCTGCGGTGCCGCACTTCCGCCAACTCCGGGCTCCGCCTCTACGGTCAGTATCATTTCAATCCTTGCGTCGGCTTTGCCTACTGTCTCACAGTTAGATTGACTCCTTGCCGACTTCAGCCTTACTTTTGTTTGCCTAGCATGTGGTGAGCATGTATTACCGAGGCCCTAAAATTTTATATGTTTTTATTTACTTCCGATCCACTGTGTACCACGCAGCTTGACAAATTGCCATGTTAGTTCTTAGTTTTTTTTCTTCATTTTTGCCTTCATTCTTAGTATTCTTCCTACTGCTTTTTGTATTACATACGCGACAGATAAAGCCTGAATTTCTTTTACAATTTGTGTGCATCATGTCTGATGTGTTGCTTGTTTGGATACAATTGATAAAAGATACACACTAGGCCCCTGTTAACAAGAAGCCGCCTTTCTGGTGTACCATCGATAAATTACATGTTTGTTCATTCGCTTTTGTAAATAATTACTACATTGATTAATACATAATTTCAGATGAGTCGTTATATGTTTGTGCATGCTGTAACTGTTTGTAAAATTAGTAAATTTGAGAAGGTATTTATGATGTTCCTGTAGCCTCTTGTGTACATGATTACTTTTGTCATTCAATAACAATTGTTTTTTCCTTTTGTTTTGCAAGTGGAAATGGATTTGGTCCACATGTCTTTATAATCCTTGAACCAGTCTGTACAGCATACCTGATGTGAAATGTGATTTGCCAGTGCTCCTTGAGAAGTGTACAGATATAACTAAGCACGGCAATCGATCATGCATGATTTAACTTGTTTTTCTAACATTAGTGAAATCTGAAAAGATATTTATTCAACTTGTTAAACAATACAGCTTGATGTGTTTCAAGCCTCCTGTGCATATAATTAGTCTGGTCATTCAATGGGTATCATTTTTTATTTGTTTCATTGCACAAGGGGAAAAGGATTTGGTCCAGATATCTTCATAATGCTTGAGCTTGTCTGTTCAGTGACTGTTTAGTTTTCAAAATTTTGCAAAATTTTTCAAGATTTCCCGTCACATCGAATCTTTGGACGCATGCATGAAGCATTAAATATAAATAAAAAATAAAAGTAATTACACAGTTTAGACGAAATTCACGAGACGAATATTTTAAGCCTAATTAGACTATGATTGAACACTAATTGCCAAATAACAACGAAAGTGCTACGGTACCATTTTCCCAAAAAATTTCGTCAACTAAACCAGGCCTCAACATCATAGTTGATGTGATTTGACAATGCTCCTAGTAGTCCTAGATAACTTTACAAATATAGCTAAGCACAGCAATTGATCTAAGATTTCAATCTTTTTGAAACCCCACTTCTTTTGTTTCGACTACTTTAAAGCTAATATATCAATACACCTGCAACATCAAAGTGTCCAAGTGATTTTTTGGTCTATTCTGCATTTCTGCCTGTACATTTTTGTCCTGACTGACTCCTGAATTTTGGTAGGCAAAGCTGAATGGTGACAATGGCTTCCTCCTCAACATCTTCATGCTCTCCACCTGAAGGCCGCCGTTACAAGTTGCGTACAACTCCTGCAAGGCGCAATCCACCTGAACGCCAGTCCTCTAAGAGAACCACTAGAGAACATTCTGTCAACAGCCCTCCCAGTAAGAAGACTATTTCCATTGACGACTGCCTTAACGACCTAATCCAGATCATTAAAAACCATACGCAGCAGAAGGTCGGGTCAAGCAAGCACGACGAGGAGATTGCCAAAGTGAAGCAGATTTTGAAACAAGATGGTTTGCCCGAGTCTGATCCTACGTTTGCTCATGCTTTAGTTGTTTTCAAGAACACAGTGGACCGCGGGAACTTTCTGAGCATGGAAACGAAAGAGGGCCGCATGAACTTGATTGAGGCCTGCTGGGAGGTTACGAGAGACAGATCGAAGTAGTCGTTATCTCAATCAACGTTCCTTTTGTGGCAGCCTATCTAGTTTTATGTTCGAACTGTGCATGTTGAGGATGTATGTTTGCCCTATGTTCGTTTCGTTTGAAGTTGTCATTGTAATGTTCCCTGGACAATGTTTGGTGAATAGTGAAAAAATATAGGAATGGATACTGAGTTGTTTGGAATGAAGAAAAAAATGTATAGGGATATAAACAAGCATAGCTGAGACAAGAAGAGCAAATATTCTTTTTCTTATTCTTAGGTTAGAGTGGATGTTTTATTTTCTATGTTTATCATTGTACTATAGATTTTTTTTCTCTTTGGAAGGAAACTCAACATTCCTTCGTTCTAAACACTATGAAGTGATTTTTTTTTTGAAATTTATTTCCCCAAAATTCGTTTGAAAACCCGTCATCCAGATAGTCCCTGAGAGGGCACACTCCCAAAGTCGCCTCGCATTGGCCAAAGTGGAAAGACGTCACTAGGTAGCGTGTTCGTGTGTTGCTACGGGACAACTAAATTTTTTTTACTAAAAACACACGGATTACACGATAAGATAACAATACTGTTAAATTAAATACCGACGTCAAAGTGACATTTAATTCAAGAAGCAAAGTTCGTGAAATTAACATAGTCACGGAGAGCGCGACGTCGCAGGCTCACAAACTATACTGTATAGACTTTGTCGTGATACGGCTAAGATAATATTTTATATCGGCAGAAAAAATTGTACGATATCCATTTCTTTCATGCGCCAATAAATCCATGAATAAGTTCCACTGCATCTTTATATAATCATGTACACACAGGTTTGAGTATATATGTAAATAGGTTCGTGCCCGTGCGTTGCTACGGGACAGCTAAACTTTTGTACTAAAAACACACGGATCGCACGATAAGATAACAATACTGTAAAAGTATATGACCGACGTTAAACCGACATTTAATCAAAAAGCTAAGTTCATGAAATTTACACGGTCACAGAGAGCGTGGCGTCGCAGGCTCACAAACTCTACTATGTAGATCTTTCCGTAATGCGGCTAAGATCATTTTTTATACTGGCAGGAAAAGATTTTCGATATCCATTTCTTTTGTGCATCAACAAATACACGAATAAGTTTCACCACATCTCTATACCATCCTGTACACGGCGCTGGCAAGCGAATTAGCCACAACTTATGTAATTAGTTTTATAATTAACTCATATTTAGTCCTCCTAATTTGTATCTAAAAATCCAATGTGACAGGGACTAAAGTTTAGTCCTGGGATCCAAACACCCCCTAACTCTCGACTCCTGCTGGCTGCTCACTTGCACCACCATGCCTATGTGTCTGCATGTATATACTCTAATGCCAGAACGTCTAAGATGGTCTTTATAGTCCACCATTTAAAAATATCATAACTTTAAAGTTATCATTTGTGTATGCTGTAGGATTGGGATGTTTTGCACTGATCCATGAGGGTGTCCATGAGAGTCGAAATTTTTGATGCCATTATGATGTCTAAGCTTACCAATCAGACAGAGACAAACTTGATTGTTAAAATATTTTCAACACTGCTTTCGTATACTCCCTCTATTTCAAAATAGAATTCATTCTCGCTTTCCGAGAAGTCAATTTTTTTAACTTCGACCAATTATATATAAAATAATATTAATATTTATAATACATAATTGGTATCATTACATAGACCATTGAATATATTTTCATAATAAACTTATTTGGAGATATAAATGTTGCACGTATTTTTTATAAACCTAGTCAAAGTTGAAAAAGTTTGACCTGCACACATTACACAACGACTTATATTTTGGGGCAGAGGAAGTATATGCTGATGGGATTAGTCAACTGGAAGTCATGATGAACACAACAATACTTTCATATTATATGCCAATTAGAGCACGAAGAAATGCAGGGGAATGGACCTATATACGAATGGTGGGAATATTCGTGTAGGAAATTGCAGAAGGTTTACCAGTTTCACCATGTATAACATGCACATCTTTTATTTGGCACCACTGATGTTCTCAAGGAGCAGCCACTTTTTAATTTTAGGTCTGCATGCTGGAAACACTAAAATTAAGGGCCAACCTCATTGAGTCGTTTTGCTTGATCTTTACCAATTGTTTCCTTCCATGCATGATTATTGTTTCCTTCTATGTATGTGGCCTCAGGTGATCGATTTGTTTCCTTCAAAGCAGATGGGGATCACAGGGATGACAATTTCTTTTTCTATCGCGCGGGGTATCGCATGGCCGGAAGGGAGGAGTCTTGCTTGATCTTTACCAATTTGTTTCCTTTCATGCATGATTATTGTTTCCTTCTATGCATGTGGCCTCAGGTGATTGATTTGTTTCCTTCAAAGCAGGTGGGGATCGTAGGGATGGCAGTTTCTTTTTCTATCACGCGGTATATCGCATGGCCGGAAGGAATTAGCGACTAAAAAAAGTCGCATAAAAAAATAGTTTTACTTTTAGCCTTTTTAGTTGCAGGAGATTTACATTTCATATTTTAACACCGTTCAGCATATCAGATGACCGACGGGGGATTCAAACTTTGGAAGTCCAGTTTTCTTGGTGGGGTTACGCGCTTCGTCGTTCAAAACCCACCGGCGGGGATAAGGATGGCAACGGATCGGGTTTGGGGCGGATATCCGTGGGTTTCGGGTTCTGCGGGTTCGGGTTTGGGGATGGTTTTTCACCCACGGTTTGCGGGTTCGGGGCCCCGAAACCAATCGGGTTTGGTTTCGGGTTTGGTTTTCCATCCGTGGATATCCAATGGATATCCGAAATAAATCATTTGGAATTAAAAATCATGTTTTATAATATACTAATAAAAATTTGTTTACTTAGATTATTAAATTTATTTAAAGTTGACTCATGAAAATATTTATTATTTGTTGCCTCTTGTTTATACATGTGAATATGTGTATATATATCCGCGGGTTTCGGGTTTCGGATATCCGTTCGGGTTTTGGGTATCCGCGGGTTTGATTTTGGTGATGGATTTCCACCCGAATCGGTTTTCGGGGCGAATTCGGGTTTCGATTTCGGGTTTCGGTTTTGGGTGCACGGAGACTCCACCCGATCCGAACCCGACCCGTTGCCATCCTTAGGTGGGGATAGGTTTGGACGGGATAGGCTGAAGTGGCACGCAAAATTACCATATTGCCCTTGAAAAAGTAACTCCCCTTGTATACAGCCTGGTGGCCTCTGTTCGTCTCCCCAAGAACCATTTGCCTGCTTCCTCGGGACGTCCGGTACCTCCTCGTCCCCTCCTCTCCCTGCTGCCCCTCGCTAAATCTCTCTCCAAAAATCGAACTTGGCTCCGTCACCGCGGCCGCGGACCTGCTTGAGCAGGTGATTTTTCTATTTCTTCCTTCCCGTCTCAGTTCGTGCCCTCCATTTTGATTCTTTCGTGTTGATAGATGGCAGCTTTCTCCCATGCTTGGTGATTGGTTGTGCATCCTGTCCAACGGAGCTTTCTACTATGCTGGTTCTTGCAGGAATCTGAAATTTCATGTGTAGAACAATTAGGTGGAAAAACATCACTGTTGGTTGGTTTGAAGGCTGGCCGCCGGCGCCGCCCACTGTTTTCAGCTTCCAGCAAGGTCGGCGCGAGGAGGGAGACTCTGCATTCATCCGTTCCCTACCAGCGGCGGGCGTTCCTGAGCAGGAACGGCGACCTCGCACGGCAGCACCTCCACCTCCGGCCTCTACTCATCTCGGCTTCCAGCATCCTCGCCTGCGGTGCCGCACTTCCGCCAACTCCGGGCTCCGCCTCTACGGTCAGTATCATTTCAATCCTTGCGTCGGCTTTGCCTACTGTCTCACAGTTAGATTGACTCCCTTGCCGACTTCAGCCTTACTTTTGTTTGCCTAGCATGTGGTGAGCATGTATTACCGAGGCCCTAAAATTTTATATGTTTTTATTTACTTCCGATCCACTGTGTACCACGCAGCTTGACAAATTGCCATGTTAGTTCTTAGTTTTTTTTCTTCATTTTTGCCTTCATTCTTAGTATTCTTCCTACTGCTTTTTGTATTACATACGCGACAGATAAAGCCTGAATTTCTTTTACAATTTGTGTGCATCATGTCTGATGTGTTGCTTGTTTGGATACAATTGATAAAAGATACACACTAGGCCCCTGTTAACAAGAAGCCGCCTTTCTGGTGTACCATCGATAAATTACATGTTTGTTCATTCGCTTTTGTAAATAATTACTACATTGATTAATACATAATTTCAGATGAGTCGTTATATGTTTGTGCATGCTGTAACTGTTTGTAAAATTAGTAAATTTGAGAAGGTATTTATGATGTTCCTGTAGCCTCTTGTGTACATGATTACTTTTGTCATTCAATAACAATTGTTTTTTCCTTTTGTTTTGCAAGTGGAAATGGATTTGGTCCACATGTCTTTATAATCCTTGAACCAGTCTGTACAGCATACCTGATGTGAAATGTGATTTGCCAGTGCTCCTTGAGAAGTGTACAGATATAACTAAGCACGGCAATCGATCATGCATGATTTAACTTGTTTTTCTAACATTAGTGAAATCTGAAAAGATATTTATTCAACTTGTTAAACAATACAGCTTGATGTGTTTCAAGCCTCCTGTGCATATAATTAGTCTGGTCATTCAATGGGTATCATTTTTTATTTGTTTCATTGCACAAGGGGAAAAGGATTTGGTCCAGATGTCTTCATAATGCTTGAGCTTGTCTGTTCAACATCATAGTTGATGTGATTTGACAATGCTCCTAGATAACTTTACAAATATAGCTAAGCACAGCAATTGATCTAAGATTTCAATCTTTTTGAAACCCCACTTCTTTTGTTTCGACTACTTTAAAGCTAATATATCAATACACCTGCAACATCAAAGTGTCCAAGTCATTTTTTTGGTCTATTCTGCATTTCTGCCTGTACATTTTTGTCCTGACTGACTCCTGAATTTTGGTAGGCAAAGCTGAATGGTGACAATGGCTTCCTCCTCAACATCTTCATGCTCTCCACCAGAAGGCCGTATGGGGGAGTACATGGCCCGGTTGTCTGAGAGCATTGCTGCAAGGAGTGCATCACGGGATAGAGAGCGGACCCGTGAACAGGCCGAGGTTGACGAAGCTATGCAACTTTTACGAGAAGATGGTGTGCCATCTACTTCAGACATGTTCTTCTTTGCAACGGATTTGTTCGAGGACTCAGTGACCCGGCGGGTGTTCAAGAATCTGCTGACATCTGAAGAACGTATGGCTTGGCTGACATATCAAATGAACAAGAACAACAAGTAGTTCAGCAGCTGGTATCTTGAGTTTGGTGTGAAGCAACGGTGGTATTTGAGTGTCGTATTGTATCCTTTACATTCATTGTTGTCCTAGTTGTGTTGAGGTTTCTGTCTTACAACGGGGCCTGTGGCCAAAAAACATGTGTCGTATTCTTTTTTCCGAACTTGTTATAAGTTGTGTGATGCGATGTATTTGTTTGAGCTGCCTGACATTATTTGGTTGTTGAAGCTAACATATATTTCATTGTTAACAGATGGTTTAATTGTTCTCTATTTGAACAAATCATAACGGGGTACTTTTGTTGCATGTACATGTGGGACTGGTTGCAGGGGTCATCATAGATCGGCGAGCTTGAAGGTGTGTACTGTTTTTAATGAAATTCCTAGGTTCTAGATTCCAGAAGTGCTTACTTCCATGCATATAGTGGTCTTCTTGTCGATGGTTTTGCATAAACCTTGAAACATATAAAGGGTATTGTCACTACGAAGGTCACAGTATGCAATGTTGGATTGGCAATTTGGAACTTGTTGGGTTGGACTGAAAAAGCACAGTTCATGCTGAAAACGTTGTTTATGTTGGTTTGTTGTGAGAGAAAAATATTGTCTCGGCTGGAAAAACAAGCCGAACAAGCTGTGCTCAGTGCTCCATTCATTTACTGACTACCGTATCCATGAAAGTGTTGGCCTTAGGTTGTTATAGAGGCTTGCAGGAGCATCAACTGCTTTATCTAACGAAAAGCAGAACCATTAGGGCACCACAACGCAGGCATCACCCACCGTTAGCCTCACAAAAAAGTTACGATCCACGTAGACAAAACTAAAAGAGGCCACTATGCTTCACAACGCTAACTACTAGTGTAGTATGTCATTGCTGGGACCACGTATATCTCTCTCTCCTCATCATGCACTTGCTTTTTTTTTTCTGCTACAACAGAGTCTTGTCCCATCGGAGCAGCTGGAAGCTAAAGCCCCAACGCGTGCTCTAGCTGGTGCCTCTGTTTTTTGTCAGGTGTGGCCGTACAACCTGTTCGTTTGAGTATGGCTTGTCGTAAACGACTATAAATTTTCAGTTAGAACAATATTTTTCTCTCGCATAAACCAACCAGCAGTACTTCTTCTCTGCAAGCAGCACTGTGCCTATGCGAGACCACCACTTTAGCCAATTTGGATGTATTGTACAGACGTGGCGCTTGAGGCAGTACTCCAGCATGGAGCTTTTGGGAAGGGCTTACACTGACTCCAATAAAGAGAAAAGTTTCGTGACCCATAGACTCCCTTCTCTAATTGTCGGGCGCAATAGAGCGTCTTCTTCCCTTCCTCCTCTCGCGAGCGCCGCCGCCTCTTCCCTTCCTCCTCTCCTCCTCTCATGGGCGCGGGCGCTGCATACATTGGGCGAGTAGGTAGCGGCCAGCTTGCATGCTTGTGAGCTCCATGGCTAGCAAGCCACGGCGCGGACCATGGGCGGGCATGCGGTGTTCTACTTCCTAGATCCACCTCCACGAGCTCGCCACCCATCCGCTGGGCTCCCGCGACTCGGCGGCCATCGCCAAGTCGTCCTCCACCATCAATGCGGTCGCCACGGAGCTGCTCGAGCTGTCGCAGGACTTCTCCGACCTCCAGCTTCAACTCTGACATCTCCGAGGAGCTCGAGCGGCTCGCTGCTGCTGCGAGGGCGGCGAGCGGCCCTTGCCGGCTGCTCGCTTCCACCGCAGTGCACCTCGCCGACAGATCCTCCTCCCCGCCCCCACGCCGCTTTGTTCTCGCTCCCACCGACCTCCATCGGCGACCGCAGCCCCCTCCCTGCCTGGCGTCGCCTACCCTGCTCCTTCGATGGCGGCCGGGCGGATCCGGACTCCACGACGGCAGCCGCGCCTCCACCGACCTCCATCGGCCCCGCCCCTATGCCGGGCCTCGGCGTCGGTCGCTCCTCCCTCTCTCTGTGTGTGTTTTGCGTCGTCGAGAACGACGACACTTTTTTGCCTCCCGACACCGCTGCTACGCAAAATGGCTGGCTTGAATGCGTCCTCCGTTGAAGCGTGATTTTTGGACGTAAAAACACTGTGCAAGATGCATTTTGCGTTTGGATCGGCTTTTGCGTGTGCCGTTGGAGACAGTCTTAGGCCCTAGGTCTTAGTTCGCACCCCAAAATTTTACGCTCTGTCATATTGAATGTTCGATACATGCATAGAGTATTAAATATAGACTAAAAAATAACTAATTATACAGTGTGTGATTAATTTGCGAGGTAAATCTTTTAAGCCTAATTAGTCTATATTTTGACAATAAAGTGCTACAGTAACACATGTGCTAATGCCGAATTAATTAGTCTTAATAAATTCATCTCGCGGTTTACTGACGAATTCTGTAATTTAATTTTTTATTAGCATACGACATCTTCGTGTATCCGATGTGACATCTCATGACTTTACGCGCTGATTTAAACGAGGCTTAAACGAGGCCTTACTCAAGCGCGCTTTGTGGCCAAAAGCAAACTCTCACACATGTTTTCTTCTAGATGAGCAATACGTGCGAGGCAGGAATGACAGCAAAGCAGAGCAACCAACCTTGCATTACTCGTAATGTGGCTTTAGGTATCAAGCAGTACTCGGCTTATGTGGAACTAAGACAACTAGTAGATATTAGCTTGCGTTGACCTTGCCTCGATGAAGGGATCTGCCATTATTTTTTCTCGATCCCCTTTCCTCTCCTTCCCGTCACTAAGAGCACGCACAGTGTATGAGTCTATGCCGGTTCGATGCATTTAATGCATCTATGAAACTCGGTCATATACACTGCAGGGTTGTCTCCATGGAGCACCGGCTCCCAGCCATCGAACCCACCCCTTCACATTAAAAAAATATATACATGATACACTTCCTAAGGCTCCAACTGCCACGAGATTTCAACGGTCATTTTTTTTTTACGTGGGTCCCACGTATCAAGCCGAGCTCGTTTCTACACATTGCGGACGGAGGAACAGCTGACGTCGAATCAAAGAGGGACCCATCTATAGAACCGACCCTGCGTCCATACACTGGAGCTGCTCTAACATCGGGGCTCGCTGTTACAGCTCTGGGCAGGAGCGCGCCGCCGTGCCAGGTAGCACATGGGCGGGCTAGCGCTTTCGTCGTGGCAGGTAGGCCGTGTCGCAACCGTGATTGGGGGCGTGCCGACGGGCCGCGCCACCGCCATGCTTGGAAGCCTGAGAGAGAGTGGAGAGGAGGGGAGGGAAAAAAGATGGGTGTCATTCAGGCTTTTTCGCTTGTTGATTTCAGTCAGGGTTTATCAGCTAGTCAACCGTGTTTTTCTTTCACAATAAACTAATACCAGTCGAGCTTATCAATCTAGAAACCAACCAGCGAACAGGCCGATTGACACGTAGATCCCGCATAATGAATAGGATAAAGTATTCTCAGCTGCAAAGTTTCTTTTCTATAACTTTTAATTCAGTTTTGTCAATCCCCTATATTAGATTTTTAGGGAAATGAGATAATCAATCAATCTGGTGGAGATATCCTATTGGTCTGTTCGACTGGTATTAAAATCGGCTGAATCTATTTTATTATGAGAGAAAAATATTATAGTATCTGATAAGTTCCAGCGAACAGACTTGAGCATCAAAACGTGACGCAAAGGTAACGGGAACTGACAGCCTGATCGCTGGGCTGGGACTGGCTGGGCTGGCTAACCAGCCCCCTCACATGGCTACTATTCACACATACTTTTCTCTCACATAAACGAACCAGCTCAACCTAACAGACTGTGAATCTGTCCTTGGTACGCGCTAGCGCTGCCACCTGTGAACTGAAAGCACAGATGCAGAACTGATAGACCGGCGAGGGCGAGGCTTCGAGGGAGGAGGCGGACGGGGCAAACTGGCAATCCACCGTCCACGGGGCGCTTGCGCTTGGCTTGGACGCGGTGCTGTGCGCATGGTACGCCTGTGCGGCTGTGCCGGTGCCGGCAATGTTTTTTTTAAATAAATTGCACGGTCCTTAAAGTATTTGACAGGTTTTATATAAGACCCTAAACTATGAAATCGCACGTTTAACATCTCGATGTATCTAAGTGATTTCATCCGGGTCCAAAATAAACACGAGGAAGGTTATAAGGTGACGTGGTTGTCCACGTGGTTAGCCACGTACCCGTGGGCTCGAGGCGCACTTGGCCAGCAGGCCATGGCCGTCGCCAGCAGCGACAGCCTCACCACCAGCCGCGCTGGCCGCGGCAACCCTGGCCCGCATCGCGCTCAACCTCCTCGCCCCGTGACCACCTCTCCTCTGCTGTTCCTCTGGCCGGACGTCGCCCACCCTGTTCCAGCGCCCCACGCACGCGAGTGCTGCCCCAGCGCCTCCGCGTACGCGCAGCCGCGTGATCCGGCGCCTCCATGGCTGACCCCTGCCTCACGGTGCCAGTGGTCGAGCGAGGGGAGGCTTAGTGGCGGTGGAACGCGGCGCAACAAGAGCTCACTCGGGCATGGCGGACCGCAGCGGCGAGATTCCAAAATTCGTCACTCGCAGTGGATGGTTTGCAACGGGGTCACTTCTAGGGCTACACCATAACTGGGGCGCAGCTATGTGTGCGAGGAAATGGAGCGGGAGGCATCGAGTTAAGCGAATTTGGAAACGGGGAGGCGGCGGTGTTTACAGGCATCCATGGCGGTGACGGTGGCCGCGAGTTTCTGGCTCGGTCAACGCCGGCCAAGCTAAGAGAGAGTGCCAGCATGGGTGCAGATGGGCCAGGCGCCGTTAGCCGTTGGTCGTCGCATAGCGACCGGACGGAGCGGAATATGCCTCGACGAGGGGCGCACGTGTGTTGCCTCATCGGCTCGGTCTGGCGCAGGGCACAGGATGGCGGCAACGGTTTTTTTAGTAGCGCGCGCTCATAAAGCGGCCAATGAAAGCGTATGGGCGGCAAAGATGCGAGAGAGCGCAGCAAGACACCGCGAGGCAAGGTCGACCACCGACCGAGGCGCCGAAACACGCGGCCGCGCATAAGCGGAGGCGC